AAATATATATATATATATATATATATATATGAATTTGAACGGATGGTGTTTTTGGCCTCTAGGGACCTCAAAACGAAAAAAAAAATCGGTCCCGCGTCCAGGTCTTACCATGAGTACTACGGTAATAGCTTATTCCCTATATGGGAAATTCGCTAACATATTTGGTCACACAGCATTTGTTTACAAGATGATTTTTCACATTAAAACTGCAAGAAACTTTGTCTTTATGTGTAAACTAGCTGATCTGAATTGTACACGGTTTTAACTGACTACTGAATTCCCGTACGTAGGACGGGCTAACACCTCGTTTAATTAATTGAAAAAATTTGTCGCATGGCCTAAAAATAAAGCTTTTTCCCAGAAAATTTAAAATACCCAAACTAAAAATTCTACAAGTAAAAAATAATTTTAATATAAAAATTAAACTAAAGTGTTGGTAGGCTATTTAATTTACTAGAATTGCAATATCAAAATTAACTTTTGATACATAATGTGTTAAATAATCAATTGCAACATTTAACTAAATTATTTTTAGTTAAAATAACATTTTTGAGTCCAAATTTGTTTTCTGCGCTACTATATTTTATTTTCAGCAGTCGTTATTGTTTGAACGTCTTCATTACAAGACTCCCTACCCACGATGTGCCCATGTAGAGGTTGTTCCCCACAGTTCCGACGCCTTGACCCAGTTCGAGCCCACATTCAACATTATCCTTCGCTCGCTTCAGGTCGCTGTATCCGTTCAGTACCTTATAATCTCGCTGCACTCTCTGTTACATGGATATTGTTTCTCGTTGCAACAGGTATCGTTGAAAAAACCAAGCTCACCCATGCAAAAGGAAAGCTCGCGTTTGTATTTGTCTGAGTAGCAGGGTGGTTATAACGCTCGCCTTCAAATAAAGATTGTTGTTTTGATACAGAGCGAGATAGATTCTGAACATTGTTTTGATTGGATTTGTCAGTGGGTGATCAATTGACGATGCCTATAAAAAAGGTTGGAGTTAGATAGTAACAAGACCAGATTATTTACCATTCCTTTACACAAAACCGTAAAATTTCCATTGGCAATTGCACACAAATCAAAGACATTACCATTTATATTTGCACATTATTGCGTGTATCGTTTTACTGTGAAGTATTTCAATGACTTGAGACGCTTAGTGGTATAAAGTAAATGCAGTTCTAACGGTTTACGATAACTTCCATAGCTCCAAACCAAACTTTCTGGTTACCATCCTTATGGTAATTTATTGACGACTAAAATCCTTAGTTCATGCACGCTTTTTAACCAGAATACACAGAATCACAGTAAACTGTCAAGAAACAAATTCCTTTTGATAGCAACGATATGATCTTGGTGGTGTTCAATATCAGCAGAAAAGTTACTAGATTTTGGTTACGACTCAAATCCTAAGCACACTACAGTTACTGGTTTCAAGATTTTCGAAAATATTCCTAGTAAACTATCAAATCACAATTAGGCCTACTCCAAGTCCCTTACAACAATAACAACGACGGCTACAAGGTTATGGGTTCACACCAGCATATTTCAGGATTCACTGTCGCCGTTTCCAGATTATACGTGATGGCCCGGAGCCAAAGTTCGAGACTTGCTGAGGTTGTGATTATTTACTTTCCTACTTTATGTAGACTCTCACGACGCTGTTCCCATGGCTCTCTGCCCGATCAACATCATGACTTTCCCTGTATCATCCTCCCGCTTTCTTGCATCGCATCGATGGACTTTTCCACATCATTGCAATAATTATCCTGCTGCCTTTCATATGGAGATTGTTATTTCCTTTTCAATGAGTAAATTAACCCACTAACAAAACCAAGTAATTAACTAAAATAACTAGTTAATACTATTGTTTGTGAAAGTGATTGTAAGAATGATTTTGCAAACGCGTAGATGTGGATAATGATCGTAAATGAGAAATGCTTATCTGAAGGAATTATGGTGATTGCCAAATAATTAGGTCACCAGTTCTACCCTGAGGAAAGTCAATAGTTTTTGTATGGAAACTTTACCCATGTGGACTCGATATTGTTTTTTTTCTTTCTAGCTAAATCAAAAGCTGCTCAACAAGTATATCATATCATCATATCATATATCATACACTATATTTTGACACATTTGACATCCCTGGAAATGAAATGGACTTGTAAATACGGAAATTAACTCAATTATCTTTGTAGTCTATCTGTACCCATCGCGATTACCCAAATTACCCCAGTCGTGCTGCATATAGTCGTGATCTTTATAGTTTGCGGTTTGCACCACAGATGGCAGCACTAACCGCCGGTACTTCTGGGATGACGTAACAATGTTATAGGCAGTACGTGGCTTGCAACACTGTTATTATTACGTCGCCTTTATTTTGTCCCATTGTTGCATTCGCAATGTGCGCTGTCACCGTAGGAAGTCAATGGAGTCGTTTTTGACCGAACGCCCAACTATAATTGACAAGTCATTGTTTCCGTTATGCTCTAAAAACTAAATTGTCGGTGTACAACTTGTATTCAGCAAGATACCAAACTCGGATAGCGACAAAGTTAGAGCCAGAAAAGCCAAACGATTTTCACATTTTTACGCCTAACGCGAACAAAAATCTGGATATGCTGCTTTGAATCTATTGTGTTATAGGTTTATATAATACGACTCACCAAGCCGATAATTACTTCCTCCTATTGTCGTACCCCGTTGTGACGTGGTCTCACCATAAATAGTATGACTAATATTCCTGTATTTACAATGTTTATATTTAAAAAGATTTTGTAGTTTTACTCAAACAGATCTATTGAATCCATTCTGTACAAAGTATTTTATATTCATGAAATAAACAAAAGTACGGTGCTATTTTGCTAACATAATATTTTAAACTTACTATACGAATATTTATGTTTATTTTTATTTTCAATTGAATGAATCTCAAATAGCAAATATATGATTACTACTTTGTCTTTTACAGAAGACATCTAATTATCCTATTCTTGCGGAACCAATAGGGTTTTAGATTACCGAAAATGGTACTAAAATTAACATACAAAGTTAACCCTACATACTTTTTATTCTTACTTCGACTATTAGAAACTAAAATAATAAGTATATGCCTTATTTTACAAAAAAAGGCAACGTTTATTGAACTTGAACACAAAACTAAAATGTAATCCCAGACCTTTACACGTTTCTTGACAGATTACTCATTTTGCGCAGCGCATTATTGCCGATTCTTCGGACTAACGAGAACCAGATAATTATGTGCCAAGTGTATTCTTTCTGCGCCGAAGTATGTTTTACCAAGGATTGTTCACTTATTTCAATGTAAATTTATCATTTGGTGTTTTACAAGAACTTTTAGAAGATTTAAGTGTTACCAACTACGATTCAATTTAAACTTCCATTTCTTAGTAATCTCCATCGTCAAAGCGATTGAACGGATCACTCTATAGTGTTAACTTTAATTTTACTGGGGATATTCCTTACTCTGAAGAATCGTGTCTGTACCTCGGCAACGCAACACAAGACTTGCTGCGATGGACAGAGGAACGACAAACGACACGACGACGACATAAAACAAACGACAACAATGACGGAAGCACGTTCACGGTCCAACGCCCGTAACGGATCGTCTCCGCGACCGTTAACAACTCATCTTTCATTAGTGGAAAAACGTTGATTTGCATGGGAAAGCAAAATCGTTTATCTTTCTTTCGAGATCAATTCCGGTTGTATTCGTAATACTGTTTTGCTACGGTTTGGATTTAGGATTGCCCGTTAATTTACTGCAAAATTATTGAGATATTTTATGATTGTGATAGTTAGACATTCGGCTGATAATGATTTTGGAAATAGCACCATCGACTGTGGTTAAAGTAGGCCTACTAGGCATCGCCACGGACCAGCAGCAGCTAAATATTACTCAAAGATAATTTAGGTGAATGGTTATGTCATAGAGTTTAATATTAATAAAGTTTAATTTTCCTTGAAGTTTTTTGGTACAGTGATAGTTAATAGTAACATAAAACATGTTCCCAAAAAGTTTAAAATCGGTTTGGAAGTCAAGACGTAAGAAACAGAAGCACATTGTGTCGTTGGCTCCATTAAACCATTGACTATTGGATAGTCAATGATTAAACTAAAATATTTACTGTTAAAACATTTTGTTACAGCTTTAAAAATTCTTTAATGTCTACTTAGAAGTGCATATGTACTCAAAAGCTATCCTACCTCAAAAGTTTCACTAGTTATTGTCACACAAATTTGCATAAGATGAAAGGATGAATTTTGTACCTTTATTTATTACTAGCTGTACCCGCGGGCTTCGCCCCGTTTAGCTTCATAAGTATTCGCATGGCTCATTCACGTCCTGGTTGAAGTTCGTTCGCTACGCTCACTCACCTTTTGGTTCGAAATTAGCTGTTGTCATAAATAAAAAAAAAATCAATAGTGCTGCACCCTGTTGGTAATCCTTGTAACTTTTATGCTATTGAACATCATAGAACAGAACCAACTTGTTTAATTGAAACAGCTGTTAAGATTCATTAATTCCTTTTAAATTTGAAAAATCATAAGATTAACATGGGGAACTACAGAGCCACTGGGGCGGAGCCCGAAAGGGTTTTTGAGATAAGAATATGCTTTAATGTTAATCGGGAATGTGAGCTATCATCATGCCAAATTTCAGCCCAATCCGTCCAGTAGTTTATGCGTGATTGAGCAACACACACACAAACACACACACAAACACACACACAAACATACACACAAACTCACAAACTTTCAGATTTATAATATTAGTAAGATTCACCACCAGAATTAACTGCTACAAAAAAATCTAACTTTTTAGTTATGGTCAATCCATAGTTAACAAGGGTAAAAATTTGACGAGGTTGTACACTTTTTATCATTTGTGTTTTTTACCTACCAATCTCAAGTCAGGACGACTAATTAATATCTTAATTAACATTGGCAGCTAGGACAAAGTCAGTAAACATACCTGTCTGATGGCCTCTTGCAGGTTGTAGTTGGCGCAGGAGTAAGAGGCCGTGATGTAGGCCGAGGCCAACATGAAGAAGCCAAGTATGAATGTGACAGCGATCACTGTAGTGGCTGCGATCCTAGCGATCTGCACAGCTGTCGCTCTAGGCCGCTGGTACGCCTGTAACAGGCATCAAGTTTGTACTACAGTATGAATATGACAGCGATCACTGTAGTGGCTGCGATCCTAGCGATCTGCACAGCTGTCGCTCTAGGCCGCTGATACGCCTGTAACAGGTAACAAGTTTGTACTACAGTATGAATATGACAGCGATCACTGTAGTGGCTGCGATCCTAGCGATCTGCACAGCTGTCGCTCTAGGCCGCTGGTACGCCTGTAACAGGCATCAAGTTTGTACTACAGTATGAATATGACAGCGATCACTGTAGTGGCTGCGATCCTAGCGATCTGCACAGCTGTAGCTCTAGGCCGCTGATACGCCTGTAACAGGCATCACGTTTGTACTACAGTATGAATATGACAGCGATCACTGTAGTGGCTGCGATCCTAGCGATCTGCACTGCTGTAGCTCTTGGCCGCTGATACGCCTGTAACAGGCATCAAGTTTGTACTACAGTATGAATGTGACAGCGATCACTGTAGTGGCTGCGATCCTAGCGATCTGTACTGCTGTAGCTCTAGGCCGCTGATATGCCTGTAACAGGCATCAAGTTTGTACTACAGTATGAATGTGACAGTGATCACTGTAGTGGCTGCGATCCTAGCGATCTGTACAGCTGTAGCTCTAGGCCGCTGATATGCCTGTAACAGGCATCAAGTTTGTACTACAGTATGAATATGACAGCGATCACTGTAGTGGCTGCGATCCTAGCGATCTGTACTGCTGTCGCTCTAGGCCGCCGGTACGCCTGTAACAGGCATCAAGTTTGTACTACAGTATGAATATGACAGCGATCACTGTAGTGGCTGCGATCCTTGCTTCTTTGAGTCTACTAACTATATTACTGTATGGTGACATTAAGGTTGACAAGTAGTTTGTACTTCAATTGTACGTGAGTACCTAGCACTTCGGTAGAATGCTTATTTGTTACTGCAGAAGTTGTAGCAAACCCTTTCGCAGGATCACGAAGCAGGTATAAGTAGATCCAAGCAAATTTGTCAAAACCTATGAGTGTCGATGGTATTTATGTAAACTAAAACTGCATATAAATGTAGACCCTTCAAACGAATATTATGCCTCCGAGTGAAAAGCTTTCTAGACCTTCACAAAGAATGTTACAATTTGTAGAAAGGAAACTACCATCTTTGCACTAAATTTGATAATACTCATGAGTTATATAAGAAGATAGTTAGGAATACAGAATAAATTATTGTATAAATATAATTTTTTCCAAATCTTGTGAGGGGATATTTTAATATGAGCATAAACAACTATTGTCAGTCGCAGGCGAGACGCCAAGTAAACATTAGCCTTGTTATTTTTTGCCTCAGAGAGAGTGAGGCTATCTCGACGCTGATCTGACCCAGAGAGAGGCTACAGAGATGTAGGAAGATTGTAGTTGCTGGGGAGATGTCATTCAAATTAGCTTGAAGATCGGCAACTGGGTGTATTGCATTTTCGGTCACCACATGTCGTTTACTGGGATACTAAAAAAGATGAGTGAATTATTATTTTTTGCAATGTGCTCATGGTGAAAAAAATGGTTGATGTACTTTATGTATATTATTATGAAAATTGCCAATTTAATTTCTGAATTCGATCAGAACTTACTCGAACCCCCAATATGTGTTCTCCCTCTTAGGCGCGAACCTAGTCATAAAGTGGGGAACAAAATTCCAGGGAGTAAACCTATTAAGTATTGGTTCGTGTGTTATATGGAACTGTTATAAAATCCAATAAACCTATTGAAACCAAACCTAACCTACGTCCAGAATGTGTTATTGCATATGAGTAAAAAAAGATGCTGTAATAATGATAACAGCCTCTGACTAGTTTCTGTTAATATTTTTATAGGTTTATCCCAAATTAAAATTATTTTTAGTATGGCTACGCTAGAAACAAATTCTTTCAAAAGGAAATCTGTCCAAATCCCACAATCTTATTTTACATGAATCGGGTACTGAACTCGTCTCTGATTGAAGACCGAAACACAAATCACAAGCCCAGCAAATAGCAACACACCCAACAATACTTAAGACCATTAATAAACAACCCGTTATTATCTTTAAAACATGCTTATCTATTATCTTGTAGGTATCATTTTCTCATTCGTACATTGATTTGACTCATTAGGTCACTGAGGGCTTACAATGTGCCGCAGAGGTCTTGGTATTGTTTATGAAGTTGACCCAGGACCTACACAACAACATGAACCTTGGTCCAGGATCTACTTTCACCCTCCATCATAGTCCACAGTCGTGACGACCTGTCACTCGTCAGTCAAGGGTCACGGGACCAAGGAGTCATCCATTATAGCTTATGTGTTACAGGGGGTCGACTGTCCAGAATGTCCTGTAAACTAGTTGGAATAAGGCTCTCGTGAAAAATAATTCCAACAGAAAAGATACTTCAAAACATTTGAGGAAAGGTATTTTAACAAATGTCTTTAAATCTGTCGGAGAATCTCAAATAGAAAACTCCCTTGCCGTAGAAAACCCCAGCCAGACCCCCGTTCAAATGCGAATCAATAAATCATAAATTCAGACCACCGATCAAATTAGCTCCATTTTATCCTACGAATGATGGAATTCAATAGGTTACTGCATTTTATCTATACTGTTATGCTAGTGTGTAAAATAAGAGTGTACAGCTGCAGTCAAAGACAACCGTAATACAACCCGCTGTGACCTGGATGTCTCCAGTTACTTCGATGACCTCCTCGTTCGCCACTCACCTAGACAACAGTAGTCTCAGCACGTTCTGCTGAAGAACTGTAAACGTTAGGAATTACTGAAGTAATTGCACAGAAACATTTTGATTACAAAGTTAACCGCTGCAAATCAAATAACCTCTCCGTTCTGGGTAGTAATTAAATGCAATAATGGGTAGAAATTGCGTAAGAAATTGTTTACAGTGTTAGTCATCTCGGTGAAGATTATCAGCTATAAAACTAACATAGAATAAGTGTATGCATTTTTATGTTGTGATGCAAGATCTTTATTATTAAATTACTAAACACTGTAGAGTTTCTTTTTGCTTCTATATTCCAAGAAACCATGATGTCAGATTACCAAAACGGCAATACCTTGGTTGTGTGCCAATTACATATATTTCCAGTTAATATCCTGTCGTTTTTGTGCTATGAAAAGACAAACAGACTACTAACTTGGACTACAATATAAATTTAAAGACACAGCAGTTTGATGTCATGACATTCAACAAACTAAACAAGATAATCCGCAATGTAGACTACTAACGTTTATGAGGTGTGCATGAGCGTGCTAAACCTTGCTTGATAGCTACGATTATCTGGGTTTATAATTTTATGACTCAATCCAGTCCATGTTTAAGTGACCGCTCTGTTATAAGAGGACATTGAAATTTAAGGCATAATGACAGCTGTTTAGAGCCTAGTGAAAGTGTGGAAAATTAGAATACTAACAGCTCCATTAAACTAGAGAGTTACCAGGTTAATGCACGCCTTCTGCACAGGCTTTATGGTGAACGAATTGTGTTATAATTATTGTCATCCGGCTTCATTTTTTGATGTTTATTGTTTCATGCAGAACTTACATATTGAAATGGGCAATGCATGATCAAAATTAAAACTTATTCAAATTTTTATTAAAATCATGAAAAGTTTAACTCGAAAATAAAAAATCTGAAAATAATCTACAATTTCTTTAACTTTAAACCACTAAAATGTAAAAAACAAGTACATTACCACTATGGTACTACCCAGATAAAAATATGTTAAATGGTTTATTTCTTTAGGTAAACTAGAGTCCCGATACTGTTGAATAAAAGATAGTCGATTATATCAATAAGCCTGAAGATTTGTTGGACTAAAATAAACGTACATATTTAATGAAAATACACTGTTATATAACCTAAAGACAATTTTAGAAAAACATCATGTCGCATAGTGCCTATCAGTAAATATACAACAACATTTGATCCAAAAATCTAGAGACTTTAATGAACGGATGCATTTCAATGAAGCACAACAAATTAAACTCCACTATTTTTTCAGTTCTTTAAAGCAATAAATTGGGCTGTAGATGAACACCCTATTAGTTAGCTCTCTAGGACACTCAAACTGTGGCACACTTGTTTAAGTGTGTGTGTGTGTGTCTAGTCTAGTCTCTCCCACATCTCCGTGAAGTAGTTCACAAGACTTTCACAGCTTATCTTGACTCCAATGACTCAGTAAGCTATGAATTAAACTGTTTTCACCATATGAATGGAACTAGATTGAATGAAAATAACGAGGTAGATGTATCTTATGTTTCTTGTTATTAGTTTGTTGCATTTTAATTATTTACTTCCGCGTTGGTGTGTTAATTGAGCAAACCCAAGGCTTCAGTGGTATTTCTTAAGTACAATACAAGTGGAATTTGAATATTTAACCGAAATTTACATGTTTTATGGACATATGTGGAATGTTAAATTTGACCAAATGATGTAGGCTACAAGCAATGTATTTTGGATGTACAACTAGAGGGGGTTTTTGGGGGGTATCCAAAATGAACAATGTGCTAAGGCAATTATAGTACCAAGCACTAGTATATATTTCTTAGTTTTTTCTTAATCGTGGTTGAAAAGTCACATTCCCTATCAGCCAAAACAAATTAATGCGCTTAACAGCAATAAGGCGATTTAAGGGCTAACCTTGCATATACCACGAGAACCTCAGAAAACACAGGTCATCCCATAAACAAAATATTTCGCAATATAAGCATCTACATCCATAAAATGTCTATACTGACTTTCAACTTTCTTTAGTTTCGGATAGGATGCGGTTTCATGACATGTAAAAGTCGTCAAAGACCAAAAGAAAACTTGGGAGCGCCCACTCTGGGGTGAAAGTATAAATAAACACACACACACACAAACAGGTCGTAGCTGGCCGCTTACCAAGGCCCTGTGGGCGCGTGCAGTGTGAAGAGTATAATTGCATTTTGCATTGTGTCAAACCTATCATACGCCTGACAATGTT